AGGGTGCATGTCAATTGTTCAGATGAACAGTTAGAAATTTGGGTCAGGAAGCTGGGCAGTGGTGGTGCACGCCTTTAATCCCAGCACTCGAGAGGCAGAGGCAGATGAAATCTCTGTGTTTGAGGCCAGCCTGGGCTACAGAACGAGATTCAGGACAGGCACAAAAACTACACAGAGAAACCCTGTCTCGGAAAAAAAAAAAAAAAAAGAAAAGAAAAAAAAGAAAAAAAGAAATTTGGATCAGAGCAGGGTGTGGTGGTGCAAGCCTTTAATCCCAACACTCTGGAAGCAGAGGCAGGTGGATCTCTGAGTTCCAGTCCAGCCAGGTCTAGCTCTACAAAGTGAGTTCCAGGCCAGCCATGGCTGTTACATAGAGAAACCCTGTCTTGAACAAACAAATAACAACAACAAAAATAAAGAAAGAAATAAAGAATTTTGGGTCAGGAGCTCAGAGGAGCTCCCCTACTGAGGAGGAACTTAGGGGTGGTTTTCGGAGGTGGTATTCTGAGCAGTTTTTTGTTTCTGTTTTTTACTTTTTTAAGGGAGAAAGGCTGGACAAAAGAATTCATTTGTGCTTTGCCCCCAGTGTATGCATACCGGAGACATTTTGACTTTTGGGGAAGAAAGCGTCTTTGCGAATGTGAAACGGAGGGTTTAGGGAAGAGAGCAGCAGTCTCATTAGAGAGGATTTGCATATATCAGCCACGACAGCACCGTTTTCTCCGGGGTGTGTGTGTGTGTGTGTGATTTATCTTCAGCTCTAATAGAATTCGCCAGGAGAGGGAAAAGGTGATCTACTGCTGTTTGCGTTGGTGCATGCTGGGAAAAGCTCAAGGCTTCTCATACTTCTCTCGAATTTATCTTCTGCTGATCCTTGAGGGTGGCTGTGCACCAGTTTGTATATCGCTTATGAAGTGAAGGAAGAGAAGGATTTGAAAAGGACAAGGTCATTATGGAAATAGCCTATGTAGTTCCCTTGAGTTCTTGGGTAGCTGTCTGTCCCGGTGCGTGTCAGGCTTTAGTGTACGTGATAGTCCCAGCAACATTTCCAAATGCCTAAATTTGTTAACCTGTAGATTCCAGGTAACTTAGTCTGTACGGTATAGCAATATACGTGAGGCTGGGCTGAAACAAGACAGTTTAGCTCACGGCTCTCGAAGCTGAACATGGGTGGTGGATGGTAGGATGTGGCAAGAACGTATGCAGGCATGTAGGGAAGAGGCACGTGGGGTAGCCTGTTACATTACAACCCAGATCCAGTACCTGGAAGCCTAGGCTGTTCCTGAGTGAGCGGTGATTCCCCCTCCTTAGGTGAGTGCCTCATGACTGACTGACCATCATCTCTCCCCAGGCCCCACCAGCCTCCAGTGCCTACCAACTGGATACACTAGTAGTTTTATGTCAGCCTGACAGCAGCTGGGTCATTTGGGAGGAGGGGACCTCAGTTGAGAAAATGCCCCCACCAGATGGGCTCGTGAGCAAGTCTGTGGGCCATTTCCTTGACTGGCGCTGGACGTGGGAGGCCAGATCTCTGTGAGGGGTGTCACCCTGGGCGCTGTGACAAAGCAGGCCGAGCAAGCCAGGAGGAGCAAGCCAGTAAGCCGTGTTCCTCCATGGTCTCCGCATCAGTTCCTGTCCCTCGGGTCCTGCCATGGCTTTCCTGGAAGCTGAAGGACACCCTTCCCTCCCCAAGTTGCTTTTGGTCACGCTGTTTTATCAGAGCAGTAGAAACCTAAGTAGGGCAACAGCTAAACGTCCAGTGCATCCCTTCGAGGCCAGCCTTCTCCAAACCTCCCTCCCAGGGAGGTGGTTTCCTTGAGTTCTATTTCAAATGAGGCTCGTGGATGTGTGTTTTTAACAAGGGGCCCAGGTTACCTGTGTGCACAGCCAGGCGTGGGAACTCCTTCTGGTCCACCCTAGCCTCGGTCGGGTACCACCTGTGACCATCACTGGGTGATTTTCATGAACATCCATAACATGTAGAGGCGTCTCTGAACTGCCCTGCCTTGAAGATGAGCTGTGTGATGGTTACGGAACGGAACCCCAGCTCGCCTCCGGCAAGGGGGCTTCTCCACTTAGGGAAGGAAGTAGGAACTCCAGAAGGTAGACCAAGACGTCTTTCACTGGTTCCAGCATAATGTTCTAGTTGGCTTGCTATTGCTACCATAAACACCATGACCAGAAGCAAGTTGGGGAGGAGCGAGTTCGGCTCACAGGTTATCATCCATTATGAACAGGGTCAGGGCAGGAACCCAAGGCAGGAAATGAAGCAGACGCCATGGAGGGGTGCTGCTTACGGACTTGCTCTCCACGGCTTGCTCAGCCTGCTTCCTTACACAACCCAGGACCGCCTGCCCAGGGGTGGCCCCGCCCACAGCGGGCTGGGCCCTCCTCCCGCAATCATTAATCAAGGAAATGCCCCACGCGCTGAGCTGAGGGAGGCATTTTCTCAGTTGAGGTTCCCTGTTCCCCGGCGGCTCCAGCTTGTGTCAAGTTGGCAAAAATCTAACCAGCGTTTATAAATGGACAGATTTTCATGTCCTTCTGAAGGGACTCTCACGGTTTTAAGAAGAACTGGAACAGTGAGTTGTTCTAGCAAAGACTTTTAGTGCAGACACAAGGCAGTCCGTAGGCTTGGACTGTCTCAGACTGTAGGCCGCACGGACTGAGAGGTGCTGGTGTGGACTGTCAGAATCTGCTGTTTCCTGCCATGGACCAGCTGTCCAACAGTTAATCGTGCATTGTGTTTTTGTGAAGTAGGCCTGGCAGTTATCGTTCAACAGTGTGATTGCAGCGTGAAGGGCTTTTACAAAGCACTCCTTTCCTTGTGTTTGGATATTTGCTTTGAGTTCCACTTCAGTGTGTTTTGGAGAGGGCCGTGTGAGCAGGGAGGTTTTTGGACTCTGTTTCAGACCGTGGCGTGTCCTTATAAAGCTAGGTTTTGAATCTCTCCTCCAAACTGTTGGAGTTGAAATTTTCATGGTTTTTTTTTTTTTTTTCCGTCTTGAGTGACTTCTTTAATGAAGATGTAGGGAAGGACATTCTCTTTCTTTGTAAATGTATGTGGTCATTCCCGTTTCTGTCCCATGTGCTGTTCTTGTAAATACAGTTCTCTTCCAGCCCCCAGGGCCCCTGGGCCAGGCTGTCTTTCAGCCTGGTGTCATGCCAAGCAGTGCCAGGGGCTGAGGTCTTTCCTATGACCACTCCTTTCTCTAAAAATTTCTCTTAAAGGGTACTCGAGAGGTGGCCTAGGTGGCTCAGTGGTTAAGAGCACCAACTGTCCTTGCAGAGGACCTGGGTTCAAGTCCTAGCAACCACGTCCAGAGGCCCATAATTGCCTGTAACATCAACTTAAGGGAGTTGATGCCCTTTTTGGGTCTCCTTGGGCACTGAGTGTGCGTGCGTGCGTGCGTGCGTGTGTGCGTGCGTGCGTGCGTGCGTGTGTGTGTGTGTGTGTGTGTGTGTGTGTGTTTTCCAGGGGTTGCCTGGAAGAGCCCACGTTCTTGGCCACAGGTACAGTACCGAGTGAGGAGCAGGCTTGTGGCTTCTGTCTCCTTGCACTAAGGCCCCAGCAGTGCTGGGTTCCCTGACTTCATTCTGTGCGCTGTTCCATGCGGAGAGAGAGAGAGAGCTGCTTTTGGAATCATGTACTTAATTTGTTCAGCGGCCAGGAGCTGGCTCACCTCATATCTGCTCAGCCCATGGCCGATTCTTCCTGCCAAGTCCTGAAGGTGGAGTCGTGTGTTCTGTTCTTCTGCACAGCCTCCCCCCCCTCCCCCTGCTCCCCCCTAGCCACCTGCATGTCTGCCTCTCAGGCTGAGGCTTCTGTCCCTCTGCCGGACAGCCTGAGGTGCCGGCTTGCAGTTCCCCCACCCACGGAGGCCCAGCTATGTTCACTCACCAGTAGCCTCCCAGCTGGCGTGTGTGTGTATGTGTGTGTGTGTGTGTGTGTGTGTGTGCGTGCCCACCCATTTTTATCCCCCCATACGTCGTTCAGTTCACTGTCTCAGAAGTCTATGTAGGAAAACCACCTCCATATTGCATTCCCTTCCTCAGGATGCTTTCATGCCCAAGGCAGGGGAAAAAACTAGGTTCTTAAGGAACCCCTTCATTATGTTTAACTACCCCGTAACTCCTGCCTTCCGGGTGTTCCCACCAGCAGCTTCTCTTTCCGGGGGGTCATTAACCCCCAGGTGTCCCTGCTCCATCAACTCTGCCCACCCCAGTCATCCTCCCGGGTGTCTGCGCCTTGGCCACTCCCTTAAGCCACGTGTCCCCTCCCCAGCTAACGCGGACTCACCCCCTACATGTGTTTCCACCTCAGTCACTCCAAGTTCCTAACCCGGTCATTCCCCTGCATAGGTGATTCCTCCCCGGTCACCAGGGGTCCCCAACATAGGCACTTCCTCCTACCCGTCACCCCCTCTCACAATATAATTTCAGCTCTTGTCACCCCTTCCCTTAGGCGTCCACGCCCTTGCCACCCCCTCCCTCAGGTGTCCCTGCCCAGCCTCTCTCCTACACTTTATGTCATCCCTTGGGTGTCCAAGCCCTAGGCATCCTGGCCTGTACAGTGAGTGTGTGGGAAGTCTGTTTCTGGGCCTCCTTGGTACCTCACCGCAAGCCCTCTGGACATGGAATCTAGGGGTGCAGAGAGCCAGCTCCACACCTCTTGACTGTTGACGGACTGGCCCCTCTGGGGGGCGGGGCCTCCCTCTTCAGCATCACAGGGTGCTGGTACAGGCAGACAGATGGAAGTCTGAGCAAGTGAGGTCCGAGAAGATGGCTGCTGATACCCGCGACATGTTACACACCCCCCAAGGCCTCCGTCACTCATGGGCGGGGTCTGTGCTGGCCCCAGTGTGGAGGGATATGCCCTTCAGTCGCTGGCTGGAGCTGCTTCTCGGTGGGTCGTCAACTGCTGGGTGGGGGGTGCCATGTCTGTCCAGGGAGGATGAGGAAGAAAGAGGAGGCCTTGCTCCAGGCCGAGTCTGCTCAACTATGGGCGTTGGCGAATGCTTCTCTCCCCTCAGCTGAAGTGGGTTACCTTCAAAGCGTTCATTAGAAGGGAGCAAATTGGCCTTGAGCTGTGGTCCTGGAGTGGAAGGCCCCCTCCTGGGACCTGCAGTGAAATTCAGAAAAGCACGGGGGAGGCAGGGCCAGCCCCTGGAGGCTGCCAAGGAACCTTTGGTAAGTAGGTCACAGGCAAGCAAGCCAGCCCCAAGGCTTGCTTCCCACGGGGCCTGAGAAGAAACGCCCCGCCCCCCATGTTGGTGATTGTATCAGATTTTATGCACCCTCCTGGCCTTTGGGCAGGACTTGCACCCACCTGACAGACAGATGGACAGTCTGCATCGTCTTGATCAGCAACATAACCTTCACTGTTGCCTGAGCTTTTTGTTGTTTTGGAGAGGGAGTCTGTGGAGCCCGAGCTGACCTTTAACTCCTGACCCTCCTGCCTCCATCTCCTGAGCGCTGCTGGGATTACAGGGGTGCGCCAGCCTGGTTAGCTTACCCAAGCTTTTCTCTGTGCCACACTGGGCCATCTCCTCAGTCCTCAGCTCCTCCGGAGGTGGAGAGAGCTGGATGCAGAGTGTGGTTCCTGTGGTTTTCAGTTTTGTTTGGTTTCTCTGATGGACGTTTCTGGAAGACTGGGAACTAGGAGGCACAAGTGTGTTGACTGCATGGAGGCAGCGTCTTCCACCCATCCGCAGGAACCAGGAAAGCCCGGGGATGCGTGCTGCACACACTGCGGTTAGCGCCTTCAGGCTTCTTAAGCACCAGGGCTTCATCTAGCCCATATAACTGCATCCCAGGCTACTTGTAAAAAAATCTCCATTTATCTTTCCGTTACAGGTGTGCTCACACATTCGTTGGAGTGAATTATTTAAAGTTTTCGTGAAAAAGGCCTGCCCCGATTTGCACTTTAAATATAGTCCCCCATCTCAGTTCACCAGAATTCACATTGAAAAGAGAAAATGACTCTCAAACAGCAGTTTGGCACGTAAAAGCATGGTTTACCTTGGAATATTTCTCCAGCTTCGCATTAAGGCACTAACACCAAATTTCCAGAAATGCTTTCCCGTGCCAAACCTAGAAATCAGCATGAAATGAAGCAGCGAATATTGAGCCCCAGGTGGTCATTGCTGGGTGTCCCTGTGGCCGGGAGGATATGGACTGGACAGAAAGAACCCTCCTCCCCTCTTCCCTCACCTCCTTCTCCCTCTCCTGTCCCCCTCCCCCCTCTGAAGTTGCCAGACCCTTAATATTAAAATCGAAATGAAGTCAACCATGAACATTCAAAATACAGGACGTCTCCTGTAGATAACGCAGCCTGGGCGGCAACTTCAGGAACTCCGAGCAAACACAGCACATTCCACACGCAGTGCTCAAACCTCGTCATCTTACGCTGTGAATTATTCAGCCTCTGTTTATATTTATATTTCATATATTCTGCTTGCTCCTCTGATTAGCATACCCCAAATCTGCAGTGCGTCAAAATGCCGAAATTAAAAAAAAAAAAAAAAAGGAAATACAAAAGCAAACGGTGACCTGTCTCCTCCCACTTTGTGGAAATGGAAGCCTTGGTTCTATTAATATCGAGACCTAATTTAAGACAAAAAATAGTTTAAGATTTTCACACGTTAGCTACTGAGAGGCGGCCTTTGCTTTGGTAATATGAAGTTAATATTTGTGAGAATGACTGAAATAAATGGACAATTGTTTTAAACCGTATTCACCCCGTTTTCTCTTTTACCTCACACCTCTCTTTCATCATCTTTCCCCAAGAAACCTGGGTTTTGTTGGGAGGGACTCTGCAGATGACTCATCACTTTATGCTTTTGATTTATTATGTGCCCATAAAATACACTGGGTGCCTTCATGATTTTGTTTGTTCGATTTAGTTTATAGAAAAATGTCTGGATGAGAGGGGGCTGGAAAGCGATGGACATCCTCACCATGTTGCTTTAAATATTATGTCATCTCTGCGGTGGGAAAAAGAGATTTTAGTTTCACGGTGGAGTGATGGAGATGATGACAGACTTTATTTTTAAAGGATTTTAAAAAAGTCTAGATCTGTGCATTTCGGGAGAGATAGAAGTCACATTAAGCCTTGTCTGCACGAAGGCCTGGTGTCCCCATCTCGGCAGGCGGGATCTGTGGGGCTCGCTTGGCTTATGGGCGGTACCTTCCTGGAGGAGCGGGTCTCCTTTAAACAGTGACACCGGCAAATAGTAGCTGCTTTTTTAAAAGGCGAGGCTCCGCATTGGTGCCTCCCAGAACCATTGCGGAAAGGGGGCCTTCCAGGCCAGGCGGTGTTAGCGTGAGGGCGGTGGTGGCGCATGCCGTTAATCCCAATCCCAGCACTCGGGAGGCAGAGGCAGGCGGATCTTTGTGAGTTCGAGGCCAGCCTGGTCTACAGCGCGAGATCCAGGAAAGGCGCAAAGCTACACAGAGAAACCCTTTCTCGAAAAGAAAAGAAAAGAAAGAAAAGAAAAGAAAGGGGGCTTCCACAGTCTGCTCTTCCCTCTCAAGTCACTGACACAACCCCATGAGTCATAGCCCACCGGCTTTGCAGGCAAGTCGGATGAGAGAAAATTCCAGGCGTTAGATGATGCCACTGGACCTCTTACATGAGAAAGTGACTTTATTTAATAACGGAGGCAATGATAACCAAGAGACCGTTGATTACCTAGGTTAGAAATGAGACCTGATTGGAAGGAGTGTTTTCCTTCCAGTGCCGGGGATTGGGCGAGTTGTGCATGTTAGACAAATGTCCTGCCGCTGAGCCATATCCTCAGCAGCTGCATCTTTGAATGGAAAACTACACTGACTGTGTTAGTGGAACGTGAGGCCCATGCTGCTCGCCACAGAGCTGAAAACCCAGGAGACAGAAATTCATAGAAGGAGACAGGCTCGTTCAAAGGTAACTCTCAATCTCAGATGTCCGTCTCCAGGTGTTTAAGGGGCAGAGAGCTTTTATGGGGTTCAAAGGAGAGTTATGAACAGACGGGGCAAGAGAGCCCGTGTGCTGGCCAGTGTCTTGTGTCTTCTGTCTTCTTCGGCAGGGGGAACCTCACCATGGCCTGCCCTCTGTTCTGATCAGCCAGAACGTGAGCAATGGCTTTTCTTCCTTCCCTAAAAGGATTAGGAAGAGGGAAGGTAAAAAGAAGAAGAGGAACACTGGATTTCTTTTTAATTTTAAAGATTGTTTTGTTTTATGTGTAGGAGTGTTTGCCTTCATGTGTGTATATGCTCCGTGTGTGTGCAGTGTCTGCAGGGGCCAGAAGAGGGCATCGGATCCCCCTGGAAACTGGAGTTACAGATGATTGTGAGCTGCCAAGTGGGTGCTGGGAATTCAACCTGGGTCTCTGCAAGAACAGCCAGTGCTAAGCCATCTCTCTACCTTTCCCACACTATCCATCTATCCGTCCGTCCATCATCTATCTATCTATCTATCTATCTATCTATCTATCTATCTATCTATCCATCCATCCATCCATCCATCCATCCATCCATCTATCTATCTATCTATCCATCCATCTATCTATCATTTATCTATCTATCATCTATCTATATCATCTACTATCATCTATCTATCTATCTATCTATCTATCTATCTATCTATCTATCTATCTATCATCCATCCATCCATCCAGGATCTCCCTGTGTAGCCCTGGCTGGCCTAGAACTCTCTGTATAGATCATATTGACCTTGATCTTGCAGAGATCTGCTCTTGAGTGCTGAGATTAAGGGTGTATGCCGTCATGCCCCCAGCAACAAACAGTTTTAAATGAACTGCTGGAGCTTGACCACAGTTTTTCTAGTCTATAAGTCCTCAGCATGTTCAGTTCCTCGAGTCCTATGGTGCCAAGCGATGCTAACACATGACCATGTCTGATGGTTATTTGTTTCTTCAGTGATATTAGAGGTTAGACCCATAACCTTGTAGATGCAAAGCACATACCCCCCACGGTGCTCTAATCCCAGCATCTACAGCTACTAAATAATTCTGGTTTGGGTATCTCTTCTCCTTGAGGGTTTGATGAATTAAAATATTTAATTTTCTTTTAATTATGTATATGTACATTTAAAATATGTCTGTGTGTGAGTTTGTGCATACGTGAGTGCAGGTGCCAGTGGTGACCAGAAGAGGGCGTCAGATCCCTGGAAGATGGAGTAACAGGTGGTTGTGAGCGACCTGACATGCATGCTGGGAACCATGTCCTCTTTAAGAACAGGAAATGCTCTTACCTGGTGACCCATCTCTCCAGTTTCAGAGTCTCTTGGGAGCAAATGAAATAAGACAAACCCAAAATATTAAGTACCCAGAAATGGGATTTAAATGGTATTTGGATTAAATCTCTGCTTTATTAACAATTTGGGCCTTGACTCACATGCACGTGCGTGCGTGCGTGCGTGCGTGTGTGTCTGGTGGCTTGAATAAAATGTCCCCTATAGTCTCAGGCATTTGGTCCCGTGTTGGTGGTGCTGTTTGAGAGGCTTAGGAGGTGTGGCCTTGCTGGAGGAAGTATGTCACTAGAGGTGGGCTTCAGGAGTCTTCCGTCTCTCACCGTTTGAGTTCCTGTCTGCCCGCGGTTCATGACGTGAGTCCTCAGCATCCTGCTCCGGCCACCGTGGGTGCTCATCCTCCATGCTGGACTCTCCTCCGTCTGGAACCATAAGCCCCAAACAAACCTTTTTGTACGCTGCCGTGGTCATGGCATTTTATCAGAGCAAGAGGAGAATAACTAACACTGTGTGCCAGTATGTGTGTGGGAAGGTGCATGTATGTGTGTAAGCGTGAATAGGTCATATCGTGGTGAAAATAATTGGGAGTGGGCAGTGATCTCTCTTCTACTGGATTAGATAGGCGCCGCCTGGTAAGGTAGCCTCTCACTACATATAAACATGCATGCATACATACATACATACATACATGATTCCCAGCATGCATGCCAGGTGGCTCACAACCACCTGTCACTCCAGCTTCCAGGGATCTGACGCCCTCTCCTGGTCCCCACTGGCACCTGCACTCACGTATGCACAAACCCACACACAGACACAAACAGATACGCATAATTAAAAGAAAATTAAATATTTTAACTAATTAATCAAGCCCTCAAGGAGAGGAGATACCAAAACCAGAATCATTTAGTAAATGTAGATGCTGGGGTTACAGCCCCGTGGGGAGACCCCACGGCCAACAGTGAAGACATTGACTCATTCAGTGTTGCTGAGCTAGGTCGGCATGCTGTTTGTTAGTCAGTACGGTTATATTCCTGTCTGTGTGGAGTTTGTAATCAGAGCCTATTAGGAAGGGCCCCCAAATATGTATTTCCAGTTGGCGCTGAGTTCTGTGTGAATGGTGTACCGAGTGCGCAGGCGCAGGACCGCGCTCGCCGTCTTCCCTAATCCACATTCCACACACTTGCGGCTCCCTTGGCTTGCGCTTCCGTTTCAACTCTGCCTTCTGAAATGTCATTCTGGAAATGGAAACGATTAAACAGTGTTAGTCATTTACTTTTTAGTGTGACCGCGTCTTAGATTATTTCCTTTGAGCAAATGTTAGCGGGTGATGTGAGGCAGTGGATGTCTGGGGACGTGGTGGGGAGGGGACGGGGTAGCTAGAGGGATCTGAAAGGTTGAGTTGTCTCCAGCTTGTACAGTGCCATTCCCCAAGGACCCTCCCATGATGCTTCCTAAGCTGCATTATTGTCTTGGTGTCCTAGAACACTCTATGCCGTGTGTCTGCCCTGGCGTGGTGCCCACCTCCTCTGGGGATGCTGCCCGAGGACCTGAACCACGGCCCTGCAATGCTCTTCCCTGTCTCCTTAGGAGAGACTCATTATACAGTGAATGTCTGTTTTGCCCCTTACCCTGGCTGACTCTTCGGCTTTTAGCATTTTGCTTCACATTTTCAGTGCTGTGTTATAGTCTTGTTGTTATTATTTTTAATGCTCAGCCTAAGTGTGCCCCTAAGGAGATCTTTGCCCATTTATGACTCGAACTGAGAGCGCTCAATCATTCTGAATGGAGGATGATTTTAATTCCTTCAATCTCCTGCCGTGGAATTTCAGAAGGATTCTGCATGTTCTCCTTCTGGCTTGTGAACGGTAGTGCCTGCGATTCTAACCCCACAGCCCCAAACAACAGGCTCACCCCAAAGACAGTTCCGTTTCTTTGGCAAGGAAGATGGAGGTGGGAATTTGTTCTACCAGGCCCTGCATCCTCAGGAATTTTCCTTTGCTAGGAAGGTATCTAAAGCAAGAATTTGAAGAAATGTTTTTTTCCTACAGTTTTTGGTTGTTTATAAAGATTTTAGTGGCTCTGCTGTTTTGTTTTTTGTTTTCCTGCTTGGTAGCCCGAGCTCATTAACTTCACAGTGATGAGAAATTTCAGGTCTAAGATAAAGAAAACCTGTAATACTTGTGTGTAGCAATGAAGCTGTTAAGAAAAGAGCAAAAGGTATCTTGTTAAAATCGGCTTCCCCTCCCCTTATTATAAGCAGAATTGTTGAATGTGAGAAGGAACCCAGATTGCTAATTTTAATGTAAACATGTTTCTCTTTTTCCTCCTAGCTTTTGCTTTGGTGTCTGAAGAGAGAAAAGAAGAGGTCAAGCCTTCCCAGGTACTTCCTGTAGCCATCTAGTCTAAACACTCCACGGAGGTTCTTTCAGATTTAACGAGAAATGTAAAGATTTTATCCTTAACAGTTAACATTATTTTGCTGTTGTACAAATTGAGATATTGTTGAATATCTGTTTCTGTATGTATATGTGTGTATGCGGATACTTGTGTAAGTGTTGTGAGCGTGGAGCCAGAGGTCAGCTTTGTACGTTGTTCCTCAGGCTCAGTGTGTGTGTGTGTGTGTGTGTGTGTGTGTGTGTGTAGTGTATTTGTGTGTTGTATGTGTGGGGGCATGTACATGTGTGTGTTTAGTTATTTGCCCCAAATATGCATACATGGAGGCCAGCAGAGGATGTCAGGTGTCCCTCTCTGTCACGGTCCACCTTATTCCTTTGAGGCAGGGTCTCTCCCTGAACCTGGGGCGAGGCTGGCAACCAGCAAACCTCAGCGATCCTTCTGTCTCTACCCTTGACAGCTCCAAGGTTACAGGTGTGCAAACCCACACCTGCATTTGTATGTAGGTCCTGGGGATTCGAACTCAGGACCTCAGGCTTGTGCAGCAAGCACTCTAACCACGGAGCCGTCTCTTTTAGCCCTACCTTGCCTTTGATACAGCCTCCTTCCTTGGCCTGAGTCTTGCTGGTTAGGCCGGCCGGCCTGCCCCAGGAATCTGCCTGTCTCTGCTTCCCCAGTTCTGGGATGACAGCATGCACCACCGGACCTGGCTTTTTTGTGTGGGTGCTGATTCAGGTCCCCATGCCTGCGTGACAAGCGCCTTACCAGCTGAGCTGGCTCTCCGGCTCTCAGTATGGGTTCTGAAGCCCTCACAGCAAGCTGTGAATACAGGTGATTGCTTTGGGTGTGTGGGGGCGCATGTGTGTTGTATGCGTGCTCACGTGTATGTGTGTGCATGTGTGTGTGTTCCTCCATCACTCTCCACTAAATAGACCGAGGCGAGGTCTCTCCCTGGACCCAGGACTCCCCTTTTCAGCTAGCCTGCCTAGTCAGCTTGCTTCAGGGGTGTTTGATCACCTCCTCTCCATGCTGCACCCCAGCTTTTCTGGTCTCTGGGGGGGGGGGTCTGTGCTCTACCAGCTCCCCGCTTGTACCCTGCCCACCGAGCCATATTCTCAGCCCCAGAGTGTTTTGAAAACTATGATTTAATAGTTCAGACAGACCGACTAGTTTCAGTCGTTTTTAGGAGAAAGGGTTTTGATACAGAGAGATCTTTGAGAAGCTCTACTTGGGTAGCTTTGTTTCTCAGGGTCTCCTGCCCTGGGCTTCATCTTGCAGTCTGTGAGAGGATGCTTGTCACAGGGGCGGGGAGAGTCCAAAACCTGACTGCTGTTGCCTGGAAGATGGATCCATGTGGGAAAACATCCTGAGGACCAGATGAAGGACTCCACAGGTGACCAAGCTGCTGGATTCCTTGGACACTCAGAACCCGAAGCCAAGCTTGGGAGCTGGGCAGAGTGGGTCACACTTTTCCAAAATCTCTGAGCCTCCATTTTTGATCATTGGTGATGTTGGATAATTTCAAGTATGTGTGTGTGTGTGTGTATAACCACTTCAGCTTTGCATACGCTCACTTTAACAGGTGAGCAAGAAACAATATTTAAAAACTGCAACTCGTTTTGTTATGTTAATTAAGGCTCCATTGAGTCGATGTTTTACTCCACAATTGGTATAAACTCTTTTGAATAGAATATTTCTTTGATCAACAGAGCATTATCTAACTGTGCTATGGGATCCCTCCAAAGGGGAAATGATGCTAATAATTTCTTATCATGTTAGGACTCTTTAGGGCTAGTAAAAGCATTTGAACACATTTTATTTAATTTGATCTTCTCAATGACTCTGGTATTGCTAAGCAAAAAATAGATATTCCCAGTTAAACAGAGGGACTTGGGCCTGAAAGCAATTATGTGATTTTACCAAGGACAAAGGATTATTAGAAGTTCAAGTTCAAATGTTCTGAGTCCTGTGTTTTCAGCTTGTACTCCATTTTAATTATGTGTGTTTGATAGGATTGAGATTTGCTCATAAAGAGTTTAATGTGCTATGCAAGGGTTATTAGCAGAGAATTAAAATTTTGTTTAATGAATTTAGAAATTATGCGTACTTAGAAACGATTTTTAAATTTTATTTCTAGGGGGCTGGAGAGATGACTCAAAGGTTAAGAGCACTAGCTGTTCTTCCAGAGGTCCTGAGTTCAATTCCCAGCAACCACATGGTGGCTCACAACCATCCGTCATGAGATCTGGTGCCCTCCTCTGGCCTGCATGCATACATGCAGACAGAACACTACGTAATAAATAGATTTAAAAAAAAAATTTATTTCTATGTGTGTGAGTGTTTTGCTTATATGTATTTTCACCACGTGTGCCTGCAGTGCCCGTAGAGGCCAGAAGAGGGCATCAGATACTCTGGAGCTGGAGTTACAGGTGATTATGAGGTGTCATGTGGGTGCTGGGAACTGAAGCCTTGTCCTCTGCAAGAGCAGCCGGTGCTCTTAACTGCTGAGCCTCGCCTATCATTTGTATGCAAAGAACTTGTAAGCATGCCGTTTTGCATTGTCACTGTACAGACCTTAAAGCCCAGGTGGAGGGGTTGACCTGGTCCTGGCGGTGGCATATCAGAGTGGGGAGCGGTGAGTGGGATGGATGCGCTGTCACCAGATCCCCTTCTTGTCTGTCTTGTGGCTGATGTGCAGCCTTCACAGCGAGCACGTTTTTGATTAATGTTGATCGTCAGCGGAAGAAACTGTGTCATCAGAGATCATAAAACAAGCCCTGCACTTTCTTCCTTGGAAAAGCCTTTTTTTTTTCCACGAGGGAAGCGGAAGACAGGATTTTAAATGTTCTGTCAATTCCTCCATTTAGCCCACTTTTCTTTCTCGAAGGGGAAATTACTCAAGACTATTTTGGTTCTGTTTCAATCCACCCAACTCAGCCTCTCCTTGGGTATTTTATTTTTACAGCTTACAAGTGGAGTTGTTTGAAAAAGCTAATCATTTCCCTGGCTTTTGTGTCAAGCCAGTCTGAGCTGCAGGGCTCAATGGTGAATAAGAAGATATGGGATCCAGCTTGCTCCTCTCTGATGTCGCCAAGCCGTGTGGTGGAAAGTCCGGCAGGTGTCCAGGGCTGTTGAAGTGACGCTGTCTGGAACCCTGGCTCTGTGTGGTTTTCATCTCCCACGTTGTTGGAGGTGACTCTGGTTGTACCTAAATGCGTGCTGTGCTGATTGTTTTTCTAAAGACCTCCAGGCTGGTGCTGTGAGGAGAAAGGGACTGGGAAGACCCAGGCTTTAGTCCTGGTTTTGTGGCCTGTGACTCGTGAGCCCTGGGAAGTTGCTTCATGTTTTCCCTGAGAGAAATGATTGTCTTGTTTGGAAAAGGGCAACATTAGCTGTCATCCTGTCCAGTGCTGTGTCTTCTTCATCCAAACATTCTGTTTTCCCACGAACCACACAGCGGCAGCCGGTTCGGTGGCTTAACAAGAAGGGGCGGGCACTTCAGGCAGGGGACAGGGAGGGTCGTGGTGGGAGCCGATGGTGGCCTTGTGCCTGGCATGGCCGAGCTGAGGGTGGGAGGGGGTCCTGACCAGGTGTGGCCTCTTGACGTCTGCTCAGGCCAGCTGGTGTGCCAGCCTGGCTTGGAACAACACCTGCAGAGAAGAGGTTGAGCATCCCTGTCTTAGTAGACTCTTCCAAAGTTAGTCGTTTCGTCAGGATTTAACGGTTGCTTACCTGGGGTCTGACAGAGCAGTGTCTGGCTGTGGTGTCTTCTCTACTCCGTGGCCTTTCTACTCTGGAGGCAAGGGCAGTTTATTAAAACGCCGCCCATCAAGTCACATCCCCATCTTCCGCTCCGTCTCTGCCTCATCTCACGGTCCCTCTGGCATTCTTCGAGGACATTCCTCTCTGTGGCGTTGCCTTAGCTTTGAAGCGGCTCCAAATCTTGTGGGTCCAGGCTCACAACTGCGTTTCTCATTCCAGCCTGTAAGAAAAATCAGATATTGGTAGTGTCTGATCACCATAATTACAGTGTACAGCTGCCAAAAATGAAAAAAACGAGCAATTAGGAGGAAAGCCTCATTCTAGTCTGAGGAAAAGGTGTTGGAAGTGGCAGGTTGAGCTGTTGACACTGAGCTTTGTCAGAGAAGTTGTGAATCTCCAGTGGGTTACTCAGGGTCAGAGTCAAGTTGTCTCTGTGCCTGTGTCTAGATGTGTATGACAGGGCTCAGCGGCCCTGAGGCACCCTTTCGTGCCCAAGAGGTCTAGTGACTATGTGTGTTACTATAACAAAATGCCTGAGACTGGGTGATTTATAGAGAACTGGCATTTATTTCTTATAGTTTTGGAGGCTGGGGAGTCTAAGGTATAGGAGTGGAGGCCATTGTTTGTGCTTGAGTCATTCCATAGCAGAAAGCAGAGAAGGGCAAGGGATATGTGCCAGAGGAAGAGAGGGCTGGGCTTGAATTTATAACAGATCCCCACTGCATGGTGAACTCACACCACAATAGCACTGTGCATACATTACCTCATGAAGGTTCCATCTCAACACTGTAGAGTTAGGGGATGATTCCCTTCCCTTCCCTCCCCTCCTCTCCTCTCCCTGCCCCTTCCCTCCCTCCCTCCCTCCCTTCTCTCTCTCTCTCTCTCTCTCTCTCTCTCTCTCTCTCTTTCTTTTGTATGAGGATTGTCTAGATGTATGTATGTATGTGTGCTCTGTGCTTGCAGTATGCATGACATCCAAAAGAGGACATCAGGTCCCTTGAAACTGGAGTTACAGATGGTTGTAGATGGTTGTAAGCTGCCATGTGGGTGCTGGGAACTGAACCTAGATCCTCTGCAAGAACAGCCAGTGAGTGCTTTTAATAACTAGGTCATCTCTCTAGACTCTAGGATGACCTTTTCTCCCTCTCCAGACGAGGTTTTTTCTGTGTTACAGCCCTGACTGTCCTGGAACTCACTCTGTAGATCAGGCTGGCCTTGAACTCAGAGATCTGTCTGCCTCTGCCTCCCTAGTGCTGGGACTAAAGTTTGTGTGCCACCACGCCTGGCTTGGGATGGCATTTTCCACATGTTTCGAGATACACATTGAAACCATAGCAGCGGCCATCATCTGTCCTCCTCCAAGACTCTTTGTGGAAACTTTAGGGGTGCTTCTCAGCCAAGAAAGACTGTGTTAACATTCCCTTTAAAATGATTTACTTATTTTTATTTTATGTGCATTGGTATTTTGCCTGGATGTATATCTATGTGAGAATGTCAAATCCCCAGGAGCTGGTGTTACAGACAGTTGTGGTGCTGGGAATTGAACCTGGGTCCTCTGGAAGAGCTGCCAGTGCTTTTAACTGCTGAGCCATCTCTCCAGCCCCATGTGTTAACATTCTTTATAGCATTGTGTCTTAGTTACTTTTCTGTTGTGATGACAAAACACCACGATCGAGGCAACTTACAAAGGAAAGCATTTAATTTGGGGCTCACGGTTCCAGAGTCCATGACCATCATCGTGGGTAGCACAGCAGCAGCCAGGCCGGCATGGTGGTGGACGAGGAGCTGAGAGCCTACATCTGGTCCACAAGCACCAGTCAGAGAGACACTAGGAAGGATTTTTGAAACCTCGAAGCCCATCCACAGTGACCCGCTTCTTCCAACAAAGCCACATCTCATGATCCTTCCCAGCAGGTCTACCAGCTGGTGACCAAGCTTTCAAATCTGTGAGCCTATGGGGACCATTCTCATTCACCACACATCATGTCTGAGCTCAATAAAGACAATAGCTGGGAGATCTTTCATCCTGAGGAGAACACTGCCAGCATTTGGACAATGTCTGTCATTCTTACAGTGTTTTAGAGTGGACAAGGTCTTTAGAATTAACTTCTCCCCAAATGCAGTTTTTTTTTGGTTTTTCGAGACAGGGTTTCTCTGTGTAGCTTTGCGCCTTTCCTGGAACTCACTTGGTAGCCCAGGCTGGCTTCGAACTCACAGAGATTCGCCTGCCTCTGCCTCCTGAGTGCTGGGATTAAAGGCGTGCACCACCACCGCCCGGCTTCAAATGCAGTTTTATACAGGAGGAATAAGCTTTTAACCCAAATAAATGACTTGCCTAAGGTCACATACAGAGGACACAGCCTAAGCTGGAGAGATGGCTCAGGGGTTAAGAGCACTGGCTGCTCTTGCAGAGAACCTGGCTTTGATTCCCAGCACCTTCATGGTGGCTCACAAACACTTGTAACTCCAGTTCTAGGGGATCTCGTGCCCTCTTCTGGTCTCAGTGGGTACTGCACACACATGGTGCATATATATGCAAGCAAACACTCACACACATAAAATAGGCACAATCTTGTTGCAGAACTTCTGGAGCAATGCAGATGCTCATGGTCCCTGCTTTGCCCTCTTCCGTTCTAGCCTCCTTACTTTAGGGAAGCATTTAGCCTCATCCCCAAGTCCTAGCACCACGTATTAGCCCAGATGATTCGTCTTTATTCATGGTGTTGCTAGTTCAGTTAAATGATGGAATTCATCTTTGTCTCTTTCATTTTAAATACAGGCTTTGGAGCAGAGTAGTCTCTCAAGGAAACATGGCGTAGGTAAGCAATGCACTTGTATTATTTTTACGTATGTGTGGTGTGGTGAGTGTGTCTATGTATATTTGCATGTGTATGGGTGCACGTGTGTGCAAATGTGTATGCATGTATGTGTGCCTATGATGGAGGCCATCCTGTGTCTTTCTCATTTGCTCTCCATTTTACGTACTAAAGCAGAGTCTCTCCCTGAGCTGCTCACCAATTTGGTAAGCCTCGTCGTCATTGGCAATCTTGCCGCAGGCTTTTCTGTCTGCCCAATGAGTCTGGTTTTTATGTGGGTTTTGGGGATCCAAACTCAAGGCCCTGTGCTGTGCGGCCAGCCCTGAATCCGCAGAATCATCTCCAAAAAAGGTTTGTTTTTGTTTTTTAATTAGCCAAAGGACAAACTTCATTAGCCTAGTTCTCTGTCTCCTGTACAGTTTTGGTCCCTGTAGTATCCTGTCTGGCGGGCAGCAGGGGCATCTCTTCGGATAGTGGAGGGTTTGCCGATGTGCTGGAGGTTACCACCTCCAAGGGGACGCTCCCAGGATTCCTGGCCACATCCTGCACACTCGGCCAGCCGTTCCTCTTGGCGTTGTACTTGTGGTAGGCACGGCCAGGCTTTAAGGTGGGTCTGTCAGTTCTGCCCCGACCAGCCATCACACCAACGACAGCGCTGTTGGCCGAGGAAATGACCTTGGACCCTGACGGCGGCTTCCCTTGGATCTTCCTGGTCTCCTGGCTGTGGGAGATGATGTAGCATAGTTCCTGGTGGCTCATGCCAGCTTGCCCCTGTCCCCAGGCTCGTCCTCCAGACGACACACGATAGTACCCTCAGGCTTGGCGCCCATGGACAGAACATGGCTGACATTCAGCTGGGCCTTCCTGCTGCAGTTCTCAAACTGTCCAGTGTGGATTCCCTCCGCGGCGATGAGCAGCTCAGTCCGCTGCATAAATCGGTAGGGATTGCAAAAGGCCACTTGCATTCGGGGAGCATTGCGACAACCAGGGTGGTGAACGATAGCCTTTACAATGCCCTTAAAATAGCCGTGCCACTCAGCGACGTCCACAGCACGCAGGCGCACGGCGCCCTTATGGTGTTTCATGTGCGTGGAACACAGAACCGGCGTCTTTCCGCTGTCCTTGGATCACGTGACCCATGGCGGTCTGCTAGCAAACAAAACTGAAAAGAGGAATTTTTTTTTTTAAAGATATGGGCTCACTATGTAGTTCTGGCTGGCCTTGAACTCACGAAGGTCCAGCTGTTTCTGCTTCCTGAGTGCAATGATTGAAAGTGTGCACCACCATCCCCATCCCCAGCAAGGAATGTTTAAAACCTGTATTTATGTGTGTGTGTGTTGTAAATTGTAGTCTAGCGAAGTTAATTTTCCTTTTTGATAGTACTGATGAGGTATATTTTGTTGTTTGTGGCTAGCCTGAAGCTTGTCGTCATGAAGACCTAGGGAGAGCATATGAGAGCCATTTTCGGAGTGGCATGAGGCTTCTGACACGAGGGAAGTACTTACTGTGGCATCCATTGTTGCTCACTCCTGGAGGAGAGACCCTGCCGATCATTGCGAGCTATGAACATGTTTGCTGAAGGCAAACTGTAGTGAGTTTAGAGAAACAGCAGCCACAATGTACAGGAAAGAGGGGACTCAGCTCTGACAGCTGTCCCCTGGGCAGCAGGGAGTCAGGAGGCCAGGTGGCATGCCAGCCAAGGCTACGGAGATCAGCTCTGGGCTCTGGCCTCAGCCCGAGTGTGACTCACTCGAGAGAACACTCAGGTCAGATGTAGGAAACATTTCTTATTTCTGATGTGAAGAACGGCAGGAATGTAGGCATGTACGCTCTTTCCATCAACAGACTAGATTAATGTGGGGTGGGGTGGGGTGGGGCCAAGCAGCATGTCAGTCACCTGCCATTCATTATCCAACATTCTTTTCCCCTTCAGCCCCACCACCCAGACCCAGACAACTACCAAGTGGATCCTGTCCCCAGGACAGTCCCTCTAGTCCCCTTTTTGGGAAGACCTTGATGCCTTAAGATTTACTTGGCTCCTGGTACCATTTCCAGCTTGAAGACAGTCAGTCCATAATCCAAGCCTCTAACCCCATGTATAAATCCCTCATGATCTGGCTTGGCTGAGCCCGCCTACCCTCTAACTTCATCATCATCTGGGCGCCATAAATCTTTTTTGCAGAATTCTTCCAGACTCCTGCGGGCATGGGGATGCTCCAGAGCCTACTGTGGGCCCCATGGTAACCCCATTTCTTCCTCGGCTACTGTCCTCCTGGAACTGTGCAGAAAGCTGCAGCCCTTCCAGAGAAATTCAGCAGATCCCCTGTGGCCTGGCCCCACTGCCCACCCCGCTCCCACAGCACCCCACAGATTGACTACGGCTCTCTACCCAGTTCGGTGTTCCAGGCCCCGGCACTGAACCGGGCTCTGATGCCTGCACACCGCCCCTGTGTCTCTGACTCTGAGCAGGTTACCGACGACGTTTGCAGACCGGGTGTGTAGTGTACCTGTTTGTAGTCCACAGAAAAGGAAGGGCCAGTCTGATCTCAGCTATGTGAAAAAGTGAGGGACGAACATGACTCACGCGATGAAGACGCCTGAAAGGGGAAGAATTGGCTTTTGTTTTTCTAGAATAGCATCCCCCCCCCTCCCGCATGGAGGATCTGTTGCCTTAGTGAGAAGAACGGTAGGAGCTTTGCCGGTAGGAGCTTTGCCGCACTGGCAGAGGCAGCAGGTCTTGCTTACGGTGGCGAGCATAGGATTAGCCTTCTGACAGGTGGATTGCTGTAGTGCAGAATTTATTAGGAAATAATCTGGATTTATGAGATGCCGCAAGGATTACTGCAAAGAATGCCTGTATGTCCACCGCCCAGGTTAAGAAGTGAGACGTCACCGAGAGAGCCGAAAGCTTTATCCCCAGTTACGTGCCTCGCCCGTGGAGTCTTTGACACTTTTAAATGACATACACAGTGTGCATACTGGGGAGTTTCTATTGTAAATTTTACACAAACCAGAGATACCCAGAGAGAGGAAGGATCGGTTGAAGAATGACCGTCATCATCTTGGCTCATGGGCATGTCTGTGGGGCATTTTCTTGACCCCTAACTGATGGAGGAGGGTCTTGCCCACTGTGGGCGGTGCCATGCCTAGGCAGGTGGGCCTGGGCTGTACATGAAACCGCCCTGAACGAGCCAGAGAGAGCAAGCCACTAAGCAGCGTCCCTCCATCAGTTCCTGCCTCCAGGTTCCTGCTTCCCAGGTGATGGGCTGTAACCTGTAGGCCAAATTAACCCTTTCCTCCTCAAGTTGCTTTTATGCATGGTGTTTATCACAGCAATGGAGTAAATTAGAACAGTTAGCTACTTGATGTATATTTTGCAAATTACTGATTTATACAGTTTTTCCCTTTTTTTGTATCTTGGCAGTATTACAGCATTCTCCCTATGAGGTTTGTCTAGAGTGTCTGGATTTATACATGTTTTCATAGTTACTGTTTTCATTCATTAGTAATAGTTAGCCCACGCTAATCAATTTTTATTGCTGTATAGTATTCTGATTTATATATACTGCTGGTAGTCAGGTTGCTTCCATTTTCTTCTTTCCACATGCTTTCTTAAGGCTGACTAAAAAGGTCACTAAGAAAAATACATCTATAATTTAGTTAAAATTTGTAAGCAAATCCCCTAAGCTTATTGATTCCATTCCCCCCTTTTTTTTTTTAGTATTTGAAGATTATTTATTTTATGTGCATGAGGGTTTTGCCTGCATGTATGTCTGTGCACCATGCGTGTTTAGTTCCCCATGGAGGCCAGAAGAGGGGTCAAATCCCTCAGAACTAGAGTTATTGATGTTTTTGAGCTCTATGTAGGTGCTGAGAAGTGAACCCAGGTCCTCTGCAAGAGTAACAAGTACTCTTAACCACTGAGCCATCTCTCCAGCCCCTATTCCGTGCTTAACAAAAAGTCAACTTGGCTTTGGTAGATTAGTTTTTATCAGTTGTTCTCAACCTGTGGGTCATGACCCCATTTGGGCAAACGACCCTTTCATGGGGCTCTCATAGCAGATATCCTTTATATAAGATATTTACGTAGCAATTCATAACAGTAGCAGAATTACAGTTATGAAGTAGCAATGAAAGAATTTTATGGTTGTGGGTCACCAAAACATGTATTAAAAGGTTACAGCATTAGGAAGGTTGAGAACCACCGGTTTATATTAATGCTTCAGGTGGAACAGATCATAGATAATGTTTTGCCTGAGATGAGACTCCCCTTGTAAACCTTACCCCTGCGCCCAAAGTATGCAGCCCGGAAGCCAGCTGAAAATAGAGTAATACCCGTGGAATGTTCCTGTTCATATAGGCAAGGCAAGGAGACAGGCCATATCCAGTAGGTTGCCCAGAGTTTCCTTTTAAAATTTTTATTGAGTTTTATTTAACCAAAGAGTATTTCTGATTATTTTTAGGACCTAGGTGGCTCACTGTGGAGCTATCGGTTGTGTGGATGTTTGGACAAGTGAGTAAGTGAATGGAGCACTAGAACCAAACGGAATGATAAGACATGACAGGATACAGTTAAAGTCACAGTGGCATCCTTGAGCCGAAGTGTTAAAGATGGAGGCCTCGGGTGGGAGGAGGGTCCTTGTATGGATTGGCTGTAGACCTGGCTGGAGGCCACCAATGGCGTCTCACCGTACCCTTGGGCTGTTGTTTTAGCTCTGTTTCTTTATTACAAGTTCAGGATCTGAGGCGGCCCTGATGTGCTTCTCTGAGATGTGACCTGAGCAGCAGCCACACTGGTTTGGGGGTTTCCCCCAGAGAGTTGGGGGTTTGCTCCTCACTCACTGTTGTAGAAGGCTGGCTGTACTGAGGTGGGTCCTGCCCTCAGCATGCCCCGGGGCACGGTCTTCTCTGCGAGGCTTGCGGCCAGCCCCTGCTTCTGTGGGATGGTTGTGGCTGGTTTCCTGGAGATAACACCCAGTCCTGGCTAGCAGCCTTGCGAACTGGGGAAGGGATTATTGCATTGCTTATTTGAAAATCCTTGTGACCTTATGGGGCGCAGAGAGCCACTTTTAAGTATTGCTGTGAAAGGTCATCCAGAACATTCTAGAAATATTGCATATGAGTTTGCTAAGGCTGCTGTAGTTTAGATACGACGCAGTCTCTCCAAAACTATATGTTGAAGGCTTGGTCCCCAGCCCTCGGCACCATCAGGACATGATGACGCTTTGAAGAGGCGAGAAGCTAGGTGGCTGGGGCCCTGTCCTTGAAGGGGATACTGGGATCCAGGCTTCTTCCTGCCTTTCTTTGTTTTCTAGGCTTCAGTGAGGCGGATAGGCCTTGTTGGTTCCTTTTGTGCCCCTGTGACCACAGTCCCTGGCAGAAACAGTTCATAGGAGGCAAAGTTTATCTGGGCTCCCGATTTCAGAGCAGTTCAGTCTGACAGGTGGGGAAGAGTTCTTCGTGGTGGCACTGTGTAGCGTCTACCCAGATCATAGCCAATCAGGAAGCAGAGTGTGCGTCAGGAGGCAGAGGCCGGGGATAACCGTCAAAGGCTCTTTGACAAAGACTCAACCTGATTGTAAAGGTTCCACAGCCTCTCACAACAGCAGCGGCAGCTGTGACCAAGCTTTCAGAATGAGCCTGTGAGGGACGTTTCAAGTTTGAACCACGGTGGGCACCATGTACCCCACATTCCCTTCCATGACACACTGTGCCGGGGTCCTGAAAACAATGAGGGCTGAGTGACCATGTGTGGGGACCACCAAAACTTAAGCCAAAGGAAACTTTTGCTTCCTATAAATTGATTGTGTTGGTCTTCTGAAAGAAAATGGTTTGTTTTGTCAGAAGTGTGGGGGCTGAAAGCTATGGTGAAGCTGTCTGTAGGGTTGGCTCCTGAGGGCTATGGGGGAAACCCCCTTCAGGCTCTTTCGTGGCTTACACTGTGTTTTCACACCACCTTCGCAGTGTGGCTTTGAGTGTCCCATTCCCCTCCTCTAAGGACGGTAGTCAAACTGGGATAGGAGCCTCTGTAATGAGCTCACTTTAGCCTGATGACTCTGGAAGACCCAGCTCCAAACAGGATCGTGTTCTGAGGACCAGAACTCAGCGCATGCCTTTTGGAGGGGGCACAGTTCACCCCATAGCACGGCGTAGGGTTACGTTGGGACCTTTGGGAAGTCACTGGGCAGTGTGGCAGTTTTGTTTTGCAGACGCAAGGGGAAAGGTAGTGTGTTCCCTAAGGCGTGGTATAGTACAGTGAGCTTGTTTGCTTGGCACTTCTGGGAAGGAATTTTTGGATGATGCTTTAAAAGTAGAGAAGATAGTGGTTCTCGAGTTATATAAATAAAAATTTCTGGGATTGGTGAAGTGACTCAGTGGTTAAGACCACTGGCTGCTCTTGCAGAAGACCTGGGTTCAGTTCTCAGCACCCACAAGGCAGCTCACAGCTGCTGTAATTCTAGTTCCAGGAGATTTGACGCCCCCTTCTGGCCTCCACAGGCATTGCATGCACATGGTACACATACACACATGCAGGCAAACACTTCTACATATAAAATCCCCCCCGCCCCCAGAGCTGAGGACCGAACCCAGGGCCTTGTGCTTGCTAGGCAAGTGCTCTACCACTGAGCTAAATCCCCAACCCCTACACATAAAATTTTTAAAAGTGTTCCATTTCCCCTTCAGAGCTTATTGCTCGAATGTTTGCTTTAAAACTGTGCTCTTGCCGGGCGGTGGTGGCGCACGCCTTTAATCCCAGCACTTGGGAGGCAGAGCCAGGTGGATCTCTGTGAGTTCGAGGCCAGCCTGGACTACCAAGTGAGTCCCAGGAAAGGCGCAAAGCTACACAGAGAAACCCTGTCTCGAAAAACCAAAAAAAAAAAAAAAAAAAAAAAAAAACTGTGCTCTTATTCTTATGTTCATTTAATCACTGTTAAAAAAACCGGAAAACTTTTTGTTTGTTTGTTTTAGACTTAAAAGAAATTGTGTTTGTCATCCAGAGTCAAAGTAATTCTTTTCATGCCAAGAGGGCAGAAGAGCTGAAAAGAGACATCTTAAAGCAGGCTGCAAATCTGACACAGGTATGTGGAGAAGACCCGGGGAGGCTAGGGGCCATTGTGCATGTATTGAGATATTTATGTTTCCCTGAATCTGTAGGAAATCAATTTTATTTAGGTGAGAATAACTCTCTGGAGTCATTGTACTAATTCAATATTGAATATTGCTGAAAATGTTCTCTCATGGTATGTGTATGTTTAATTACAGGAGTTATGTAATTTTGTAGGACGACCATGGCTTTGTCATGATAGAATAAAAAGGAAGAAATAACGTTTTAAAAGAACTAGAGCTAATTAACATGCAAACTCTTGGCAACAAGTTCTAAGGCAATTTTCATGTTGAAATAAAATTTTCATTAATCTTACTGTAGCGCCCTCTCTATGAGGCTCTTCCTGTGTTTTTCTTTTTTAATTGGATGTTATTAATTGAATCTTTGATCTGACTTATAGTGTAATATCCCAGGATTACGGAGAGAAAAATATGCACACAGCTACATTTTAATGGCATTTGAAAGAGGTGTGAACTGAGTCTCAGGTTGTTCTGAATAGTGTAGGTGGTTTGAACAGGCTCTGCCCTCTCGTAGGTCATTCCCTTTAATTGGTGAGGGCATAGTTCAAGCCTCCTAGTGGGTATCTCAAGCCACAGAGGGACCCCGATTCTATTTGCCGTGTGCCATCTAATACGTGGCACACCTGTATTACCTAGATAAAATTAATTTATAAACCAAGCACAAGAAGAGATTAGCAGTATCTAAAAGCAGAGTAATTAGAACAGTGTCTTGTAATGGAGCTGTCAGCACGTTACCATGATGCTTTG